TAAAGACTTATGAAACTCATTTCATAATCTCCTACTCATCTTGACTAAGGATTTGATTAAGCTAATATCAACTAAGAACTATTAAGATATGTCCCTTTAAATCACTTAGAGTGATGATTCCTATTTTAACCACTCATTTGCCTTCATATGCATCATACTATATCTAAAAACATCCTGATTTGGCATCTTAGTTAGGACTCGTAGGGATAAAATCAAAGTATAGCATTTTACATATAAGACAACCTGGTGTCTCAAGTCTAAGGATTATTTACATGACTGACACATGAGAACTATTGCATAAACACTAAAGTGAGATACCAAATGCACTTCTTATGTCAGGTCATTTCAGTGATCCTACTCTTCAAAGGTAAGCACACACTTGTTAGTTTCAAGTATCTCTTTACTTCAACCTATAAAATCAATTGCTTATTTCACAAGGAATATAACATGTGCCGATCTTTGAGCATTATTGATGGCTCTTCTCAAGAATTCAATGATTAAGAACTTTTAAGAATAATTCTTTGATGCATAAGGATCTCGTAATTGTATCTCAACACAATTTCTTTATAAAGCATATATAGTTCCATAGGGTTTTATCTACATAAGTATAAATAGTAATTAAATAACAAACTCATAGATAAAAAACTATCTCAATGTTACTATAAATAGTAAAATGGCATACACAAATATCTTAAATTGTAATTCCTATACGACTACAGATTGGCTTATAGAGCTTATATTAATATAGTGGGTATTCAAGAAACTAGCTTTATGAAGAAGTTTTGAGGACTTTTATTGAATTGGTTTTGAAAACTGAGTTTAAGCTTGATAATTTCACTTTCTTTTATGTGATTAAGGCTTGTGGAGGGATTTTGGATGTGGGTTTAGAACAAGGAGTTCATGGGATGGTTATGAAGTTAGGTTTACTTAGAGATGTTTTAGTTTCGAATGCTTTGATAGCTTTTTATGGGAAATGTGGTATTATTTAAGAGGCGTTTTAAAGTGTTTGATCTTATGTTTGAAAATAACTTAGTTTCTTGGAATTCAATGATTTGTGTGTTTAGGGTTTTGGTTTTTCTCAAGAGAGTTTTGGTTTGTTTAAGATGATGGAATGTGAAGAATGCTTGGTTCCTAATGTGGCTAGTTTGGTGACTGTATTACCAATGTGTGCAAGGAAATGAGATGAATTGGGATGGTTTTGCATTGTTTAGTTGTGAAACTGGGATTAGATTAAGAACTAATGGTGAACAATACCTTGATTGATATGTATTTGAAATGTGAGTGGATATCTCAAGCCAAAAGCTAGTTTAATAAGGATGATAATAAAAATGTGGTTTCTTGAAATACAATGATCGGGGGATTTCAACAGAAGGTAATATTAGTGGAACATTTGATCTTTTACAAAAAATGCAAATGGAAAATAAGGAAAAGGTGAATGAAGTTACTATATTGAATGCGTTGCTTATTTGTTTGGAAAATTTTGAATTGCTTCGCTTGAAGGAACTTCATAGATATTCAGTTAGGCATGGTTTTTCAAGATGATGAATTGGTAGTTAATGCTTTTGTTGCAGCCTATGCAAAATGTGGCTTGTTGTGCTCTGTTTAACTTGTGTTTAATGCTATTGAGACAAATATTATAAGCTCTTGGAATGCACTAATTAGTGGTTATGCATAAAGTGATGCTCTTAAGAAAGCTTTAGAGTTTTTCCTTCAAATGACAAATTCTGGCTTAGAACCAGACCGTTTCAACATAGGAATTCTACTTTTGGTTTGTAGTCATTTGAAATCTTTACACTTTAGTAAAGAGATTCATGGATATTTACTATGAAATAGATTGGAAATTGATCCATTTATTGTTCTCTCACCATTATCACTTTATATTCATTGTGGCAAATCAATTACTATAAGACTATTGTTTAAGGAAATGAAAGACCAAAGTTTAGTATCTTAGAATGCACTTATTGTTGGCTATTCACAAAATGGATATCTAGATCACGCTCTAGTTCTCTTTCGTCAAATGTTGTCAAATGGAATTCAACCTGATGAAATTTTCATTAATAACGTGTTTAGGGCTTGTTCACAACTATCGATTCTGCGACTCGGAAAAGAAGCACATTGTTATGCTTTGAAAGCCTTGCTAGCATAGGACATATATGTTGCTTGTTCAATAATAGATATGTATGCAAAAAGTGGTTGAATCGAACAATCTCAAAGCGCTTTTGACAAGTTAAGGAATAAATATGTGGCATCATGGAATGCTATAATTGTAAGATATGGACTTCATGGTTATGGAAGCGAGGCATTGGAGCTATTTGAAAACATACAAGCAAGCATTAGGTCATAAGCTTGATTCTTTCACTTTTGGTGGTATATTAATTACATGTAGCCATTTTAGGCTTGTAGAAAAGGATTTGAAGTATTCCAACCAAATATAGAATTTTCATGGCTTGACACCAAAATTGCAACATTATGCATGTGTTGTGGTTATGCTGGGTCGTGTTGGATGACTGGATGAATATTTGAAACTCATGAATGAAATGCCCAAATAACCAAATGTTAGAATCTTGAGTTTATTACTCAGTTCCCATAAAAAGTATGGTTCACTAGATATCGAAAGGAAAGTTATTGAGAAGTTGTTTGAATTAGAGCATAACAAAGAAAATAATATGTTTTACTCTCCAATTTATTTGCTTGATCAAGAAAGTAGGATGATATAAAAAAAGTTCGGCAAATGATGAAAGAGATTGGCCTTCAAAGGGATGATGGTCATAGTTGGATTGAACTGGGAAGGAAAGTTTATAACTTTGTAGATGGAAATAGTTCATTTACTGACTCTGAAGAGATTTGCAATATGTGGAGAAGAATAGAAGAAACAATATGTAAAATTGGATATAAACTTAATACAAACTCTGTGTTTCATGAATTAAGGGATAACGAAAACATTGTAGTATTATGAGGCCTTAACTAGAAGCTTGCAATTTCTCTTGCGTTGTGAAAGACAAGTAAAGATGGCATACTAAGAGCCAGCAAGAATCTATGCATTTGTGTGTATTGTCACAATGCTGCCAAGCTTATATCAAAAGCCATTTAAAAAGAGATTATTGTTTGAGACAACAAACGTTTTCATCATTTTAGAAATGGGTTTGTTCTTGTGGAGATTATTGGTATTGAGTAGTGACAAGGAAAAAAGTTTTGGTAGTTCATTTCACAACCAGTAGAATGGAAAGAAAAGTAAGAGAAATTCTTGAAATATGAAGAAGTAACTAGAGTTGTACAAGTAATTGTTTTTGCTTGTTATTTCATCGTCAAATCCTTACAAAGATTCAAATAATAAATAATATGATTTGTTCTCTATATTTATACTAAAATAGATGAAAATTGTAGTATATTAGCTCCAAGAAGAAAAAATGGAGAAATTGGGGAGAGTAACGTTTTTTATTGCTTTAGTATGAATGAAGGTTTCTTTTTTGCTGTACTAAGTAATTTGCTACAGTTTCTGAGAAAGGCAAGCTCGATTGCTACTGACTTCTCAGTTTATAGTACCTAAGGATCTTGCTAAAAAGGGAATTTGGTAGGCTCTTTCAACCTAGTATATACTTTTTTCTTAGTAATAAAGGTTTGGCCATTAGCATCCAAGGTTTAATCAATAAGTTTTGTCTCCTCAATTTCTCCCTATTAATGACAACTCTTTTGGCTAAGTTCTTGATTGTCAGTAGAGTGTGCAAGTAGCAAAGGTATTGTGGCTATTATATAAGGGCAATAGAAACAAAAGTTTGTTTGAAAATAAACATCAAACTACTTCCGAGAGTTATTGGTCATGCTTTTGTGTTATTAAGGAATTTGTCAATAGAGATTGAGTGACGTTGACACCAGTATTTTACCTCTTGTACAATGACAGAAAATTGCAAATAATGTTGTTAAGATTAATAATGTTGATGGTGTTGTGTGTTGTTGTTCTTTTTAATTCTTAAAAGAGATCTCGCAGGTTGAAGATAGTGTGAACAGTTAAATAGTCAGTCATTCTACAAATGGTGCACACCAATTTGCAAGGAATTGTCCACTTTGATTTATTAGGTCTCACGATTTTATCCTATAAAAAACACTTCACAAGAAGAAGATGATGTTAATACTTAACTACCTACTCATATTCTAGTACACATTTGATGTGTGATTCATAACTCTCTTTGGGATCGTGATACTGTTTGTCATTACGGATTTGGATTTTGTCAATTTTCAGTCTTTCACTTTTTAATCAATTTAGATTTGATTGTGTTTAAATTTAAATCTTTCAAGGTTATTCTGAATTCGAAATCATTTTGTCACCTCTAACAATCTTGACCATTTAAATTTATTTAACACAAGGGTATATCGTAATTAAATATTATAATAATATAAGTTATGCACATAAAGTTGACTTATGAAAAAATGTGAATATATTGAAACGTGTAATTTTGATATCGAAGCTATATAAGTTTTTTAATAAAAATATGAAATTTTAAGGGAAGAGACATTTTAATAATTAATATTATTAAAAATTACCTAATATTGATAAAGTATATATAAAATGAATTTGGTACCATATAAGTTTCTTTTCTAATAAAAAAATGTAGCTTTAGTATGAAATATAGAAAAAGAAAAAGTTGTGAGTATTTAAAAGGAAGAGAGTGAATATAATTTTGAAATGTCTCAAAAAAGAAAAATGAATATTTTAATTTGGAATAAATGGGGGTGATATTAATTCCAAGTTTATTAATGTTACTAATTAAAAAAATCTAATTTTATAAAAATAACTGGTAAAAAAAGTATCATTTTCTTTTTATTTTTGAAAATAAAAAAGTATTATCTTCATGAAAGTAGGTAAGGTAAAACAATATGATTTTCACATAAGCAAATGAGTAAAAGAGATGAAAATAAATAAATAAAATTAAAAAACAAAAAAAATATTTTAGAAATTTAGTAATGAATTTTGTTCCAATTTCTAGGGTTAGGAAAAAAAAGAAAGAAAGAAAAGAAAAGAAAATAAGTTTGGTTCCACCAAGGACAGATTTCATCATCGATAAAGAAAGCTGCTTCTCTGAGAAAGGAACTTGAAGAACAGAGCAGACCCACACATTCTCTCTTTTCATCTAGAATGCCATTTTTCAGACCATTTCTATCACTGTAAGTTTCTTGCCTGGAATAAGAATTTGGCAGATAACCCAATTTTTTAGTATTTCCCTTGTCTCCAAATTTCTTCATATCTTTGGGTTTTTTGTTTTCTTTCATTCTGTCTCTGCCCTTTTGCTTTTGCAGCTCATTTCTTAGTTATTTTGTCAGTCTGGGTCATTTGGCATTGACTTCACCAATGCTACCCTCAATTCTTTTGTAGGATTTAAGAACTGTTTCTTTCATTTCTATCTATTTATGTAGACTCATGCTAATTTGGGTATTTCAATTGAAATTCAATAGTTTAAGTCATTACAAGGTAAGTCATTGCTTTGAGTGATGTTATAATTGATCACTATTCAATTAAACAGATAGATTGAAGGAATGGAGGGCGGTTCAACCTGGGTTTAGTTGAAGCAAAAACATGCTGAATTGCCTGTTATATGCACGGAAAAAATGGATGTGGGAGGGGGGAAAGGGGATAATGTAACGGGACTTAATGTTCTATCTAATAAGGGTGGTGATAATAATTGGGATGTAACTGAACAATCGCCAGAGATAGAGGTTGTTGTTAATCAGGATGATGATGGAGCTGGAGGGGGTAAGCCATTCGTGGGGATGGAATTTGACTCAGAGGATGCAGGCAAGTCGTTCTATGATGGGTATGCAAGGCGGTTGGGGTTTAGTACGCATGTTGGTCAGTTTAAACGTGCGAAGCCTGATGGGCCAATTGTAACATGGGATTTTGCATGCTCAAGGGAGGTTTTTAAGAGGAAAAATATTGAAAGCTGTAATGCGATGTTTAGGATAGAGCAAAGGGACGGAGGGAAGTGGGTTGCGACAAAATTTGTGGAGGATCATAATCATTCTATGGTTACTCCTAGTAAGGTTCATTACCTTAGACCTCGTAGGCATTTTGCTGGAGCCACCAAAAATGTTCCCGAAACATTGGATGCCACAACTGATGTTTTTGTTTCAACGGATGGAAATCATATTTCTTATGAAGCAAATAGGGTTAGGAGTGCCTCCTCTGTTGAACCTAATCGCCTTGTAAGGAATATGATGCCTGTAGGCTATGTCAGACCTTCTAGCCAAAGGAGAATGCTGGGGAGAGATGCTCAAAATCTCCTGAACTATTTCAAGAAGATGCAGGCTGAAAATCCTGGCTTTTATTATGCAATACAGCTTGATGATGATAACCGAATGACTAATGTTTTCTGGGCTGATGCAAGATCAAGGACAGCTTATAACTACTTTGGAGATGCAGTTATTTTTGACACAATGTATCGACCAAATCAGTATCAGATTCCATTCGCTCCTTTCACAGGCATAAATCATCATGGCCAGACAGTTTTGTTTGGTTGTGCATTACTTCTAGACGAGTCTGAGTCTTCTTTTGCTTGGCTATTCAAGACATGGTTATCTGCAATGAATGATAGACCTCCTGTTTCCATCACCACTGACCAAGATAGAGCAATACAAGCAGCAGTTTCACAGGTCTTTCCAGAAACTCGCCACTGCATTTGCAGGTGGCACATCTTGAGGGAAGGACAAGAAAGGTTGGCACATATCTACCTTGTTCATCCTTCCTTCTATGGTGAGCTCTATGGCTGCATTAACTTTTCTGAGGCAATTGAAGATTTTGAATCATCATGGAGTGCTCTTCTTGATAAGTATGATCTCCATAAAAATGAGTGGCTTCAGGCAGTATATAATGCTCGTCAACAGTGGGCTCCAGTTTATTTTCGTGGTACTTTCTTTGCTACTCTTTCTTCAAACCAAGGGGTTAGCTCCTTTTTTGATGGGTATGTAAATCAGCAGACAACCATACCACTTTTCTTTAAGCAGTATGAAAGGGCTCTAGAACATTCTCTGGAGAAGGAAATAGAAGCAGATTGTGATACAATCTGCACCACACCTGTGCTGAAGACACCATCGCCAATGGAACAGCAGGCAGCAAACCTTTACACAAAGAAGGTTTTTTCAAAGTTTCAGGACGAACTAGTTGAAACTTTTGTGTATACTGCAAACAAGATTGAGGGTGATGGCATAGCTAGTAAATACAGGGTTGCAAAATATGAACATGATCATAAGGCATATTTTGTTACCCTGAATGTTTCTGAGATGAAAGCAAGTTGTAGCTGTCAGATGTTTGAATATTCAGGCATTCTATGTAGACATATATTGACAGTCTTCACAGTTACGAATGTTCTTACCCTCCCATCACATTACATATTAAAGCGGTGGACCAGGAATGCCAAATCTTGGGTTGGATTGGATGATCAACATGCTGATCCTCAAGGTATTGAGACTCTAACCACCCGCTTCAATAGCCTATGTCAGGAAGCCTTTAAATTGGCAGAAGAAGGGGCAGTCGCCCCAGAGACTTATAATACAGCAATCAGTGCTCTTAGAGAGGCTGGGAAAAAGGTTGCTTTTGTAAAGAAGAATGTAGCTAAAGTCACACTGCCTAGCTCTCATAATAGTGGAAATAGTCATGAAGAGGGTAGCAAAAAGACTGCTTCTCCGGTTTCTGAAATGGTCCCATCTTTGTGGCCATGGCAAGATGCAGTGTCACCTCGCTTTAATCTTAATGATGTTGGGGCTCCACTTGCTGATTTGAATCAACCTAGCATGGTCCCTGTGTCTATTCATCGTGATGGTGGTCACCCTGATAGCACGGTATGCAGGAAGAAGTTTGTGTCTATTTTATTCATATAAACATTATATGTATGTTATCAACTTAGACATGCTTATGTGTTTTGGCTTATTGTTGTATAAAGCATTAGCAGACCTTTTGTTAGTAAAAATATGTGAGAGTTCTATTTGTGTTGGGTACAGGTGGTTCTCACTTGTTTTAAGTCCATGACTTGGGTTATAGAAAATAAAAATGCAATGGAAGCTGGTAAAGTAGCTGTCATAAACTTGAAGGTATGTTTGCATATACTCTCATTTTCCTAATGATTTTTATAAATTTAATTATCTTGTTTGCATTTTTTTTCATTTTGCTTTTCTTTATTGGGTTTCTCTTTATACATTCAAGATACGGTTATCTATTACATATTAGATACTATGAAAACTGGTATTAAGTAACAACGAATAGCTTACTTGTATTTAGTCTAGTGCACAAAAATCGTTCTATATTGTCCATGGTGCTTCCAATGACTATTTAGTTTGTTGAATAAGCATGCATCATTGTAGCATGACTTCAGGTGATTGCTTTTGATTGCTAATTTTCTGTCACCTCTGTTGCAGCTGCATGACTACGGCAAGAATCCTTCAGGAGAGACAGAAGTGCAGTTTAGGCTCACAAGGATTACGCTGGAGCCTATGTTGAGATCGATGGCTTACATCAGTCAACAGCTCTCAACACCAGTCAATAGGGTTGCTGTCATAAATTTGAAGGTTTGAAATGTTGAACTTATGCCCCTTTATATCCTAGCATATTATCTTTTCAACATTATTATCATTTAGAAACAAAAAAATGTAAAGGAGTTGGTTGTTTCTGATGATCTATTACCTATTTGAATTGCTGCATTGTTTTAGCATTATGAAATTTAGATGCTACATTGGATGTGTTGAATCTGTTCAGCTAAGCTGGCCTGTTTTTTAAGAACATATTGTATGTAATAAGTTTAGCTGTACTATTTGGTATTTCATCAAGTTATAGAGACCATAGTGTGCTTAAATGCAAAACATTGAGAATTTGTTATTGTAGATCTAGTTGGGTAAATGAGCAGAACTTCAGAAACACCCTTTGATATTTTAATCGTTAATTCTAACTTTCATTTTACACAATCCTTATAAATTGCTTCTCTTATTTTAACAGAAGATTATTGCAATTTGAGGAATATTTGAAGGGTAAATTGATGATTGGATTTTGGTCCTTACCAAGAACCAAATGCCCAACTTCTTTGGGCATTATTTATGTTAAACAGAGAATTTCAACCTTTTTTTTGCTAAAAAAAAACCGTGAAAATAAACCTGATAAGCATGTAATGGTCCTTCTTCTTACAATGAGTTAAAGTTGAGTTAGAACTTGAACTAGTTTTGCATTTTTTTACAGACTAAGGATGTTTCCCTCTGTGCATCCAAATTTTTTGGGTTTATGTGTTATTTAGTAGTTCCTTTTACCTGTTGAATATAGAGGCAAGTGGTCAGCATCTTGTGTGCATAGTATGGGCATATTCTCTTTTAGGGCTGAACTTAAAATTTCATCTATCTTTATACAAGACGAAATGCCACTGAATCCCCTTTCTCCTTTTTCTCTATTGAGGCTAGGAAATAATGGAGGCAGTGGCATGGTTACAAGCCTTTTCCTTTCCTCTTTCTTCTTGTTGCAAATATAACAGTTGCTTGGACTGAGGATATGAAATTTACATATATATAATGCAGTACCTGTTTGAACACATGTGTTTGTGTGGCATTTTAATTGATTGGCTTGATAAATGTTGTCAACTTTGGAAGACAAAGGCTAAGTTCTTGGGCTTTTCATGAACAAAGAAGTTGTTTTGGTCTTAGGAAAGGTGTCCCTATTAGCTAGTTAGGCATCAGATTAGTTAAGTCTTGGTGTCAAAGGGTATTTTGGTCATTTTCGTTTTGCCAGAATGGGTCATAGTCCTAGTCCATTGGGTCTTAAATGGCCTACTAAGTTATTAGTGTTTCATATCACTACTTCAGATCTCCTCATTGCCTCTACCTGTATCTTGTTCTTGTTGAGTGCTGAATTTTCTTTTGACTCTCTTTCTCTCGCACAAAGCTCCTCCCTATAAGAAGTTTTTTATTGGATTGTCATTGATCAAGTTCAACAGTTTTAACAGGGAGACCCATTCATTGGAAACTTGGATCTCTCAAGAAGATAATCAATCAACAATCAACTTCACCAAAGGGTATTCTTTATCTTCTTGGTTCTCTTCGTCTACAAAATTGCTACTATCTGAACCCATACCCTTTTCTCAGATTTTGAAAACAACTATGGTTATGAAATGGCTGGAATGCCCTCTTTTTTTGAAGCACAATGTGCATCTTTTTGTTTGAGTCCTTTGTAGAAATCTAGATAAATGTTGACTTGACTTTGAAGTTAAATATGTTGACATGGGCAAATGGGAAAAAAAATGATGAAGAGGTTGCTAGATCTCTGGATCAATGGGGCTGTTAAAAAAGAAAAGGTATGGGAAAATAAGTTGAATGGTTTTCGTACTAACAAATACTTGTGCTTTGTGAGAAACTTGTCCATAATGGCCTACGACCAGTGCTCCAGTGTTGACTTTGACCTTTGATTTACAATATTTTCCTGTGTTATTATCTATATGAAAGTAAACATATAAATTTTTTTATTTTTTATATTTTTGTAGACACATTCCTACTGTCCACTTCTTGACTTTTTGGATATGCCTTGTCTAGCACCTTATGTCTGAGTTGACACTTGGCACTTTTGTCTGTCCACAGAAAGTAGGTTCTAATGATTAATATCGTGTCGTTAGCATTACGTTAAAATATAATGGCACTGATATGATAAATTCAGGAGTATCATCTTTTCTTTCTTGTTCATTACTGCTTAAGATTGGAGTGTAAGATCTGTGATTCTTGTTGCTGTACGGTTTTATTTTTTGTTTTAATGTAATACTACATGTTCCTTTTTTTTTTTTTTTCCTTTTGGGCTTATTGCTTGTTCGATTGCTTTTCTCAGCTCCAAGATACAAAGACAACTTCTGGGGAAACAGAAGTAAAATTTCAAGTGTCAAGAGATACTTTGGGTTCTATGTTGAGATCGATGGCATATATTCGGGAGCAACTTTGATAATTGTAAGCATTTATGTCCACCGTTCAATTTTATTGTTAATTGAATTATAATTCAACAAATTACCAGAATGTATGTAGACGACTTGCTACTTGGAAGTAGGGAATTAGGTGAACTTGGTAATGGTGATGCTAAAAGGCTTGAAGTTCAACAGAGGCTCTGATGGCCATAGAATAAGAAACATTACTATGTTCAGATATATATATATATAATTTCAATACTAGCAATTTAGGACTTGAATTAAAAATATTTGGCTATTTTCATATTCAAGGGCAGAATTGTAAAGCTTTCAATTTCTGGGCTATATATTTTTTTGTAAATATGTGTTTTGCTGAATGGGACTGGGGCATTGTCCATTGGGTCTTATATTGGGTTTAGATAAATTATTAGGGCTTTGTAATGGTCCATTGGGTCTTATTTTCAGTTTAGATAAATTATTAGGGTTTTACGCGGGCTTTGGTTTATATTAGCTAAGTCTCTTTTCTTAATTCTAATGGTTTTAGCTTTTAAGAGTCCAAGCCAGTTAGGAGATGTTATTATCTGTCTATTTATTTAATTTGTGCTGCTAGAATTGGTCTATAATTTATTAATTAAGGTTTGCGTTATTGAGAGTTCTTGGAGAATTTTTTGATAAAGGTCCAAACTTTGAGAAAGTTTGGATTGGTTACTATGATTGTAGAATAAAACAGAGAAAGAGATGGTTAGAGATCTCTGTTCTGATACAGAACTAATGTATGACAGATTTGGATAAGTCTGCCTATTTGGGGTTTACGGTAGGTATGGAAATTAAGGATTTTAAGGATAATAGCTATGGAATGAATTAGGTTAAAGTTTGTGTCCCTTTGGCTTACTTCATGATCTCGAAAGAAGGTTGGAATTGAGGGGAAAGATTACTGGAAATTTAGGCTGCAGAATTGGAGAAGCAAGTTCGAGAGGCTGTTGTGCTGCAAACAATGACCTGAAAATACTATTTGAGAGAGAGAGAAATATGTAGATGGTATATGCATTTATTAAAGGTCCAAAAGTACTCTCAAACTTAACAGGACAGATTCCTAAGGGGAAACTGACTAGTATCTTTGGCGTCACGAATATAATGTAAACTCCTAAGGTCCTGGAGCAATCTAAACACAGCAACATAGATACATGGCTATTCTGCCCTGTATATCAAAATTGCTGGAATCAATAAGATAAAATGCAAAATTGCTGATTCTGAAATTATGAACAAGAGTAACAAAGTTTCTTCGTACATGTCTGTATCAGATAACTTGCTTTTGTATTCTTGGGACTCAATACTCTATCAAAAGATGGTAAAAATTCACATGGTGCCGTAACTCGTACTCATGCCATACCTATTTATAATTATGGAAAAGCACATGAGAGCAAATTTTCATGCTTGGAACCTTGGGGATAGTCTTCTAATGGTGCAATTTATTGAATATGTCTTGTGGTGTTATTCCTTGTAAGAAAATATTACTGGGTATTGAAAAGATGATATATTAGTAACCAAAATGTAGCATCTACACATCTATTCATTGGTTTTGAATTCTTATTTGTATTGTTCTCAAAATTATTAATTTCAGGTTATTCTCTTAAATTACTGCAGTGTGCTTGAATCAGATAACATGCTCTTCAAAAAGATGTATAAGTTCCTACATGTGAGCTCATAGCCATTCTGAGCTCTCTCCACATGTGGAATGCTTGTTGCTGCAGTTCAGATGCTGGTGGTGTGTGGCATTGAGTCTAGTTACGGTAGTATACTTCTTTAGTCGTAGCCAGGTACGGTAATTTTTGTGACAGCAGCCACATTCCGTTTAGTCGTAGGCAATGTCATTCTTGTCTCTTAACTTCTAGTGACAAATGTGTATTAGCTATTTGTTGGAAACTCATTTGTAAATCTAAGTCATGAAAGAAACATTGGCTTATTGGCCTGCTCCCTCTCAACCTCATGTCTTCAATTTTCTGATTGTTTAATCTCTTAGGGTTGAATCACCATATACACTTTCACTTCCTGGAGTCCTGAAGCTAAAAGATATTTGGCTTTGGCATGAAGTAGGATATGATGTTCCATTATATACTTATCTGTTGCTGAGGTGAAGGATGGAAATGTCACGTTGTTAATGACATATTAGTATATCACGTTAGGATCATGTGGTATAGAATTTGATTGAACTTAATAAAAGAATTAGAAATTTATTTAAATCTTTCTAAATAGGTTATGAATATTTTTTAGGTATTATGTTTTTTTTTTCACTCATTGGTGTGCTTGGTGGGAAATATGAAAAAATAGAAGAAAATTATATATATATATTTCAATTATGCTTTGTAGAGTTAAAAAATTATAAGAAAAAAAGAAAGAATATAGTTTTCTTTACCATTATATCTTTTGTAATCAAAGATAAAAGGATAAAAATAAAAAAAATAGATAATTGAAAATTTGTTTTATTTTTACTCACATTTGTCTTATTAATTCTCATTTTTTATTTAAAAAAAAATTACATGCCATATAGTGTTACACAAGAATCTTTTTTTTTTTTTTGAAATTTACTTGAGAACTTTTACGCAAATAAGTTATTTATATCATGTTTTATTTATAGTTTTATTTGCTTTTATTGAAACATTTGCAAAAGGATTACAAGTGATAAATCTTGATAATACAATAAAATTCAGTAATTAATTACGTTTTACATTGACGAAATCAATTTACTAAACATCTACTGTTGTATGGAATATTGAAAAGATAACAGACACAAACATAGTAGTATTATGTCTACAATTATCAAATGTTTGCACTTTACCAATTTAATCTAACTATTACGAACTTATTTTTCTCTATATTTAAAGAATTCTATATTCCAGTGTAAATCGTATCTCATATTTATTATTATTAAAAATAAAAATATCGGGCAATCTATTTATATGTTAAATTTGTATTAGAGATTTATTGATAATGACCTATTAATTAACATTTTGTTCCATAAACTTTTCTGTCATTTTCTTTGTCTTATGCGACTGGGAGAAAATCAAACGTAAAGCCATGGCGTGAGTCAACAGCAAAAGTGGCCACAAACCATCACTTTCTTTGCTCTTTTTTGTAAATTATACAGCTTTTCATACCTGTTTCCATTTCTCAATCAAGCTATCCTTCCCTTCCTTCAATTCTAATTTCGGGTCGGTTTCAATCCAATCAGATCCGATTGTGAGAAGCATCGATCAATCATCGTTTTATAATCAGATTCGATTGTGAGAAGCGTTGATCTGATGTTACACAAGTAAATCATGTACTCTAACAACTAGATACAGTTATAGGACATCTTTGATCATCGACGGAAAAGAAAAAAAGTTAAGATTTTAGGTATAAATTTTTAATATTTTAATATTTTTAAAAATATAGAATAAAAATAAAAT